TAGTGAGCGTCGGGATAAACACATTCTTTGTACAGAGGGAAAAAGTCACACCAAAACGCCTACCTCACTGGAATACCGCCCTTTTTTCTGGCTCCTTTATGGGTTTATTGACGTGACTTGCGTCATGAACCAGTCAATACTTCATATTGGAAAACTGGCGTTCACTAGGAAAGATGCTTTTCTCATAAATAGAGACTCGCCCATTCCCCGTGTACATAGCATTAGGCTCGTGGAAGCGCTGATAAACATGTTTGTGACGCATAGTTGACATGAATTGTTGGCTATCGCTTCGTAATCTCAAGGGCGATTATCGCCGCCGCGCTGAACGGGGCCCTCGTAGGTGACTTTGTGTCGGAGTAAATGGGTGGTGTTGGTCGATGCATTAGAAAAGCGACTTAAAGTGACAGGCAGAATCTCAACGAGGTCGATGAAAGAAGAAGCATTTTTAGGGCAAACTCGCCGCGTCGATTCGTTGGCTCATCTTACGTGTATACGAACAAGAAAAGGATATACCTGACAAACTTCGACACGGTGCATTTCGCGACGAGCGTGTATGTTTTTCTAATTCTTTAATATGTGAAGTATAAATATTCATAGTATACTTGTGTTTTTTTTCATATTTTTCCATATTATCACTCTATATGCTTGGAATATTACAAGATTATGAGTGCTGAAAACCATACGGTACACAGTTGCCCAGAAAATTGCGCGTGAGACTAAATGTGTTGGATCCGTGAATGCACACATTCGGGCACACCGTGAACCGATTTTTACCCAACTTTAATGGCCTGTATTGAGGCCAAGAAGAGATGAGGGCGCCTGCTTAGTTCACCATCTAACCAGGAGCTGTAAGGCGGAGACTGAGTAGTGTTGTGTACACTCACTGCTTCTACCCATTTTCACGCGAAGCTAGGGGGATTGTATACTGCCCGTTTTCATGAACTTATAATTCAGTTGGAAAACTTGCCTTGACACGATTTCAGACGGTAACATGTTCGCTAGGATCGTACACATGAGGAGCGGGGTGAACGGCGCGGCTACTCCCAAGGGGAGGACCCAATATCCATTCGGGTCCTTCAAAGAATCCTGTTTTGTCTTTCTTTTCTTCTCTTGGTGAAAACTGTACTTTTTTGCCGAAGAAATACCAAGAAAGGGGGCAATCGTGTCCACTGCCTTCAAAAGAGCTTCACTCTTGCGAATAGTTGACACGATGTAGTTTGCACTCCATCAGTCCGCGCAGCGCACCATGCGCGGCGCATGCACGATCTCTTCCATACAGAAATAGTGCACCAATGGCCGAGAAGCAGAGAACATTCACAGATTTCTTCCTTTTTTCTGTTGAAGTCACAGCATGTACATTTGTGCTTCTACTGCACGCGCTATGTTCGTATTTTATTTCAGCCAATTCTCGATCCATTTTCGTTTTAATTCCTCTATTCAGTGTGTTTTAGGGTCACTTGCAACTTGACATCGCCATACTCACTGGGTTAACCAATGGATCACTATATTGTCAAGCAGCGGCGAAAATATTCAAAGAGCCGCAACTAGTAACGGTAAGTATACATCTCTTCTTTTTCCCTTCTTTAAGTACGTTGGGCAACATTACGACACTGGCTCAACTTGTTTCTAAAAGGGGATTCCGATCGCGGCGCGCCATTGCGTGTAATACGAGATGACAGTTCTTGCTGATGTAGAAGTTTTCTGAACTTGAAGGAGTGTGACAGATCACAGGATGTGAACTGAATGACTGGCGGAGACGCCCTTAATTCCCTTCTCTCCACATACCACTGTTAATGATCAACAGCTATATGAAAGAATGGGTATTATTGAGGCATAGGGGGAACTTAAAGACACATTCCGCATTTGCAATTTATGAACAGTGGAATCCAAAAATGAAATCATGGATGCTAACTGATCAACCAGTAAAGAATAAAGTACAGAGAGCAGTCGGAAACGTTCTTAATATAATTGGGAATGCCCTACGTAACTCCCGTGTTGGCGACAATTTCACACGAGACACTACTGCGCGGGCGGGGACAGAGACAAAAGCACATGATCGTAGTCGAACCAATCGCTAAAATGGTCGCATACAAAAACAGTGGGGTCCCAGACAGAAATGAACGCATCCCTTTACATGTTTACACATAAATGCAGTACAGCTGGCATATCTCACTCCAGCGAGAAGGGACTATCTTACGAGTGGGGCTTCCTCTGCTAACGATGACAGTAGCGCTCTTATACAGAGTAGCATCGGCCTTCTTCTGGGTTTCCAAGAGTTTTATTAGTCGGTCATCACTTGGGGGCTGTAAACGAAGTCTGAAGTAGCTTTTGCATCGCTGATGCTCCGAAGAAACTGTATATTACGTCAAGTAAGGAGAAAAATTCACAAGGATTCAAGTGAGGGCCTTTCTCCTGAATAGCAAAGTGAAAAAGGTAATGAGCCAGTGTCAGAACTTTTCTATGAGTCTTTTGTTGTTTATACTTATGGTAGAAAAATAGTATGCTAACAAAGACTCAGAAATTCTGCAAACTAATTTTTTTTATTTCTCTTTAGCAATCTCATGGAGCCGTCATAGCCGCATTGACAGATTACGGCATTGATGTTCTGCAGTGTGTCGATGGTGGAACGTCGCCGGTTACTGAAGCGGAACTCTTTGCCTCTGACAACTTCAACACGGTACTTAAAGATATTTATCATCTATTGATCTACACTATTTAGAAATCCTAAAATGTTTTTAGCCGGCTCACCTAGCGATGATGGATGCCTTAATGTTAGCCCATCTCCGTAACGTGATCACCGTTGATCGTGTCATTGATGCTGTGAGGTGTGTAACCTTTTTTTGATATTGGTACTGGAAAATTGCCCCATGCTCATGAAAAAAAGAACTGGGTACCAACTGTGTGACCTTGAGACATCATGCGCGATTGCAGTCCCTATGAAGCAGGATATGAAAATAGAACTGCATGTGCTAGGTGACTTAATAGTGAAGAAAAAGCCAGAGTAATCTTCGAAAATATCCTGAAGAAGACGCTTTTTTGAATATTTGGACGAGTTTGCTGTGCATGAACATTTCCGGACGTGCTGGCTTCATGCCAATAAATCGCATCAACTTTAGGGAAAGTTCCTCTGTTAGCTCATTTACCATGCCAGTTTGCTTGTTGCTGTGTTTTCGTTCAGAATAGTAGATTGTTAGAACGAGTGCGGTCAGCAAAAACTGACGTGTTAGCAATTACGAAAAGCAGCTGAAATCGCCCTACGACAGTGCTGACCACAAAGGCGTAATAGTTGATCGCGCCGTGCAGACGTCCTCATGTGGGGCTCACTGGAAAACAATCGGTTGTGAGAAGAATACTTACAAGCCACATGACACTATTACTTCGCACTTTCGAGCGATTGCAGGCAACACGCGCGGTGACTAGCAGGGTAAGTAGTTGCCTTGTGGCCTGAAAACATTCTAGTGGTTAAAGATCACCCGTCTCAAGCTGCTTTTTCTCGCATTTTCGAGCGACTAAAGTGATACTCCTTTTCGACCTGGCTTTAAACACTCGAAAAGGTTTCACTGATCAACTAGTTGCGGATGGTGTTATATACTGTTACCTGTCGTCACAAGTGAACAGTTTTACATGTGAGCAAAGCAGCGGCTTTTCTGCTTTCGCCCGAGTAGTAGTGCTGCGCTCTTGTTCCACCGGTCCATGCGCTTAGTATATGGCCTTTTAAAAATTTCCTTCATGATGAACTTTTTGTGGCCGTCAT